CCTTCCCCTTCCCCTTCCCCTTCTCCTTCTTCTTCTTCACGGAATGGGGGATTGAACTCAGGCCATGCACTTGCCAGGGAAGCGCTTATTCCACTGAGCTATCTCCCCAGCCCCTAACTATTGCTTCTTTACTGCTGTCTTTTGTAAAAGTGATTCTCAAACTCGATTGTGTCCTTTCTGTTGTTGTTGTTCCTAAAATTCATTCTTCAGTTTTAGTAAATGCAAACTCATCCCGGGTACCTTTCAGGTCATTTTTCCCCCTTATATCATTTGGAGGCATACACCAGAGTCATTTTGCCCCTATATCATTGCCTCCTATCGACTGTGTCTTGAAATCAAGTCAGAACATGTTAAAAAGCTGGATAGGCCATTTGCATGAGAAATTTGCTGTCATTGGTCAAATGAATTCTAGCCTTTAGCCTTTCTTAAAGTTCCGAGGTTGAGAAGCAACCCTCTGAGAAGCATTCCCTCAGCACTATAATTAGATGCAGCAATTGTTTTTTGCTGATAACTATAGTTTTTTCCCTCTTTAGTTATTGTGTTTATTCCATTTTATATGTAACTGAAGCCATTTGTGTGTTTATCTAACTAACACTGAGTATTTCAAAGACAATGAAATTGTTGAAGAGAGACACAGAATTTCATTTATTGCTATGATCCCCATGATGTTTGGGACAAAACGTATAAAAAATATTTTCGGAGTTAAAATTACTGGAACCTTCTGGCAGAAGAAATATTTCTTATCAGAGAAGTGAAAACACAGCTTTTGATTGAGGTCTGATTTGAAGAGCTGCTATTTTCTATCAATTAAGCAAAAATTCCAAAAATGTTTATAAATTAATGTTACTATAAAAATGAAGATTAAAATAGTAGGGTGAAGTGATTGATGATGATTCAGGAACCCTTTCCTTTAAAGAAGACTCCTGGATGACAATATAGTTAAAAGGGTCTCAAATAGAAGAGCACTTCTCTATCAGCCCGAGGGAGAAAGGGAGAAATGATGGCTGTTTATATTGTTTTTACAAATCTCCATAGAAGCATATAATAAAGAATACACTTGGAGTCTTTGGTATGAAAACAGATGCACTTTAAGACCATAATGTTAAATAAATCAGTTACATGAGGTTAAATATTGCATGGTTTCTCTTATATGAAGACCTGAAAATTATTGTATAAATAAGTATCAAAATTAAGTATGATGATAGGAAATAAGGAGATAGATCTTCTACAAAAGTCGAGGGTGCCATCCACGGGTGGTGGCACACACCTGTAGTCCCAGCACTTGGGAAGCTGAGGTAGAAGGATCACCATGAGTTAGAAGCCAGCCTGGCTCCACAAAGGGACCCAGCCTTAAAAAAATAAAAACCAAAAAAGTAAAGCGGACCAAGAAATAGATGGAGGGTGTGATATAAAAATTAAGAAGTGTTCTGTACAAGTGTCACCATCCCATGATGAGTGGAATCATTCTGTACTGAAAACGTATACTAATAAAAAATCACAAGTTCCCATTTAAACTCCATTTAGATTTCAAATTTTTTGTTTTTAAAACCTTGATTTATTTGTCTTATTATCCCAATTTCCTTTTGCTGCTGATTTCTAATTTCATTTGATAATTGTCAGGAGGTATATTACTTGATGACTCAATTTTAAAATTTTCTTTGAGACTTCTTTTATCAACTAGCTACATCCTTAGCAAGAACTGACCCTGGAAGCTGGGCATTATTCTGCCTTAGATCAGGTGGATTCTCATAAAACCTCAATAGTTTAAGATCTGGTGAATTCATTTTTCTTATGGGCATCTCTTATTACAAGCCAAGCACTCTGCCTTATTGCAAAATAAAACCTATACTCCTTGCCCCGCTACAAGCTTGAAGGACATTTCCGGTGAGATGCATTGTGAAAGATGTGTCAATTTCTTAGAATTGTTAACTCAAAGGAGTATAATGGTACTTTTAGGACTCAGCTGCCTAAAGATTTTAAATTTCTGTAGGCCTGGCAATGTCAGAAGTTGTTGACTTGAGCCATTTACAGCTCAGCATATTAATATTACTTTACTTTTTATACTTCGTTTTTATACTTTTCTGCTGGATGGTTAAGACTGAGATAAAGCAAGACCTATATAACAAGAAATGTAACTTTTGTATCTGACAAGGTCAGTCAAATCTCCTCAGGATGTATCCTGAAACCCTGAATCCACTACTATTATGGAGTATTGGACTATATTGGAATATTTTTCTGAATTCATGCACCTACAATATTTAAATGACAATCGGATACCCTTCTCTGACAAAGCTAAACAAAAATAGGGGATACAAATGGAGGACCATTTTGTATCTGTATATTCAAAATAGTTAGGAAAGATATACAGCTATATTCTCTAATTCAGTGAATAGAAAGCTTTGTTGTAATAGTGTTTGTGGACAAGATATCATGTCTGCATCTTGCACAATGAATAACCACTATAAAGACCACAATATGCAATGTATTAATTATTGAGATTGTCCTACTAATCGGCTTTGAAACGGTCCCATTGCTATTTGTTTCTTAATAAAATTATTTTTTAAAAAAGATTTTAACTCTCAGACTTTCTCCCTCCGAGCTTCCAGTGATTTATAAATCACAGTTTAGGTTTTTCTTCCACTATTTCGATTCCCATGGAGGTTTCTCCTCAGGAGTTCTTGCTGCACTGTGTTATGATTTTCACTATTGTTTGTGCTTCCAAATCAGGGGGCAGCGATTTGTCCCGTTATCTCACTTTTGTGTCAAATCTAGAAAACATTGTTGCTGACTTTGATGGAGGGACTCCGTTTTCCTTCTGGGTTATCCCTTACACTGAGACAGAGCTTTAGAAATGTTTACTTTGCCTATGCTTCCTGCTCATGTAGGTTCTCAGAGTCAGAGTTAGGTG